CGACTTGTTTGTCAAGTCCCTAGAACTTCCCTCACGAGGGCGAGACTGTTCTTTATCTAACATTTTGTGTAACATGTCTTCAATAACAGAAAAACGTCTACTCAATTCATTATACTTAATAGAATGTTTTTTACCCTTTTTCTTCTTACTTGACCTTGAATGGTGAGTAATTTCACTCGATCCACGAGGCGAGTGCGACGACGTGTTTGTCACGTCGGAACCACTATCCGAGGCAAGTTCTCCTTCTTCTGCCGATTTATTTGACGCCATAATCCAAATAGAAGTTGAACAAAAATAAACTCAACTACTAAAGTAACTATCTAAGTCCAAAGACTTTGAAAAGAGTCTAAATTCACGGAGATGCGAACACTTTCGCAAGATAAGAGAAACTGAATCAAGCATGGGTTTCAACCGGAAGTGACCTACTAGAGGTCAAAAGTTTGTCTTACGGATATGAGTCTATTATGCGGATCAAGAGAGAGAAATCCATATATATAGTAATGTCAGGTAAGTTTATTTATGAAATAAAATTAGTTTAAATTAACTGAAAACTTTATTTCATAACTTTCATGTCCGGATAGTTTTTAAAGATAATAAGCTATTGGGTTAAATAGGAAATAAATAACCCCAGCTTTCTTGAAACATGTTAATGCACGAACTTTCATCCTAATTACATATCTAATAAGTGTCAAGTATGTATTAAATATATTGAATTGTTACGTGATATAATTCATAAGCAGTGGCTAGATGTGTATACATGTAACTGGTATAGAATAATTAAACTTATTTTATTAATCTTGCAAAATAGTCATTGACTCTATCTCCTTTCTTGTAGTTGGTATAAAATATATACTAGGAAACAGTTATACATTTAAGGTTTATAAAGTTTGTGTTTTATAAAACATTTGTCGATGTATAATTATATCATGATAGGGGAAGAAAATCCAACAGGTATACATTAAATGTTATTAATACATTACTACATAACTACCCTTTCGTTGGCACGTGTGAATACGCAATGCTTAATAAGTTAAGCGGTAAAGGTTATTATATAACATACAATCTGTAACATAAGATTTTCCGGGACCACAATGTCAGAGTACTTTTCCTTGTTATTGAAAATAATATCGTTAAAATTAATCTCAACAACTGTATGCCAGCAAAATATCCACGCACTGAGATGACATTTCTGGTATATTGTTTACTGTTGAATATTGCACATATTTTTTTTCCTTTTTCCTATTTTAAAGAACGTATTACATAAAAATTAATATTGAAATCATCATCTTATTTATGCGGAGAAATAATTGACGCGCATTACATTTATCTATTATTATACATGAATCAGGCCTAACAACTGCCAATAATTTAAAAATGAAGCCATTAACATATGAAAAAGATAATTGTTAACAACGAAACTATCAATTGAAAGTTCTTCTAATATTAGAATTACAATAAGGGTTGGAAGTCTTTTGAGGATGTGTGAAGTTGGCGGCCTAGCGGCGTGCAGTCGGCGGGCCTACCGGCCCAAAGGCCTGACGGCGTAAAGTTCGCGGCCTAGAGGCGTGAAGTTGGCGGCCTTGCGGCCCAGCGGCATGGCGACCGAACAATTGAATCAATTTAAAATTTAATACATTGACATTATACTATTTTGGAAATGAAATGAATAACAATTTACAATCATTTTACACACGTTGCTCACTAAACATAAAATTATACAGATAATATTTTGGAAAATAAACTTTAGATTATTCATGGAGTCTTATTCATTTTAAGTACCAAAATCAGTGAAATGAGCCCCTTTAGATTAACAAGTTAAGCACTCATGATTGAAAGCCAAAAGTGATAAAATTAAAAAGGCGACGAGCAATTCCAGAGCGTTCGATCAGCGTAAAAATTGCAGACGATTAAAGTGTGACTGTAATAACTAGTATGGCTTTCTTACCAAATGGAGACTTATTTGTTGTTGATGAGGCAAATAAAAACTCAAAATGTTTAACAAACACTTGAGATTTCAAGCAAAAGCTCAAATGCGCTCCAACCCTCAAGTATTTGTCATGTTCCCAGCATCAAGTCGAATATGATAAATTATAACTTAGAAATGATTTAAAAAGATTTGAAACACTTCAAACCACAGGTTTTCGAGTTACAGGTTTGGTGGTCTGGCCATTGCTATAAATATTAGGAAATCAGTAGCAAATGCATCTCATGAATTCTAGAGGTGAAATTCAAAGACGTGCTCATGGAGAAAGTTTTATTGTTTAAGTCAGACATAACTGCAACTACAGATGTTATGAATTTTGTTATATATGACCGTGGAAACCATACAGTGTATTATATCACGCCAGACAGGTATGTTATATTCGCATACGAGAAAATAAAAGGACCGATGAATTGTTTTATTGATAGACTTGGCTATATCTTTCTGAAATTCCAGTGTGTTATATCGAAGGCAGATACTGGATTTGCTCCAGCAACCCTTGCTTATAGAGATGATAATGAATTATTCCTAGTGGCGGGACAAAATCAGAGTATGCGAACTAAAAGAATTCTTAAATTGTTTGGGTATTAAACATAAGGATATTTTGCAGAAATAAATATAAAGTGCAAGCCAAAAATACACAAAAAATAAGGTTTGGTTTAAACATATTTATTTAAGCTCGATTGCTTTTTAAAGACTTCTATGATTCCTGGTGTTTTCAAATACTGAACTAAAATTTTTACTGCTCTTATATTTCGAAATCATAATGAAAACCCAAGTACTAGCCGTGCTAGATCAAATAGATTTACTTTCTTTCATCTTTTTATTTTTAACTGTATCGTCGGGTACCCAAAAATCGTCCCTGTCCTAAAGACAACATCGTTTCTGTGTATGTCAGAAAGTCTTAACAAATAGTTGTTATTAATAAGAGAAAAAACAGTTGGATATTTTTAACATCATAGTAAATTTATTGCATCTAACATATTTCTTCAACATAGCACGCCTGGATCATTAAAAAACAGAAAAGTAGCACTGTAAAATACATAGGGTGACGAATCATGGCAACACGAGGATAAATCATGCATTTCTGCAATGCAGAATTTCAATATCAAGTATCATTATTAAAAAAATGGATACAGGTTTTGAAAGCAGGAATTTAATATCACTGTGACAGATATAAATTATGTTTTATTTAAATTATATTTCAAATTTTCCTCATTTTTTATCATTCGTTGTAGAAATGAAAAGCAGTTTCACATTTTATAACATTTTAAATCTTCCTGATCGCCAAATCATTCGTACTGTAACCCCTCTAATTCATGAACCCTACCTGTATCCTATTTATTAAAGATCCATATCTTGAACCTCTCTAATTCAGAAACCATTCCTGTTTTCATAAATTTTAAGAACTATATCTTTAACTACTTTATTCATGAATCATTCTTGTACCAAATTCATTGTAGTACCAACTCTTTAACACCTCTAGTTCAAAAACCGTTCCTGTACCCCATTAATTCAGGTATTATATCTTTAACTCCTCTGACTCTAGAACCCTACATGTACTCATTAATCAAAGAACCATATCTTTAATCACTATTATTCGTGGACCATTCCAGTACCCCATTAATTAAAGAACCATTATTTTATCTTTTACTTCTTTAATTCATAAACCATATCCGCACACAATTGATTAAAGAACCTTATCTTTAACACTTCTAATTTTAGAACCACACCTGTACCCCATTAAGTAAAGAACCATAATTTTATCTCTTACCCTATTTCAAGTACCATTCCTGCACCCCATTAATTAATAAACCTTATCTCTAACAATTTTAATTCAGGAACCATACCTGTACCCCATTAATTATAGAACCATAATTTTATCTTTAACCACCTTAATTCAAGAACCATACTTTACCACATTCATTCAAGAACCATATCATTATCTTTAACTACTTTAATTCAAGAAACATACATTTACCCCATTATTTAGAGAACCATAATTTCATCTTTAACTACTTTAATTTAAGAAGCATACCTTTACCCCATTTAAATTCAAGAACCATGTCTTTACCTCATTTTATTTAAAGGGCCATTCTTTCGTCTTGAACAACTGTAATTCAAGAATTATACCTTTATTCCATTAATCCAACAACCATATATTTCCTCGTCCCCCCCCCGGACATAATTTCCATAATTTCAGTCACGGGCAGGCACTTAAACTTTACCGCCAAACTTCCCTGAAGCTAGCTGTAAAGCTTCTTTACATTTAATCTCTCTATCTCATACGAGGTGGTAGAATACAGAAAAGTAATATTATCGTCTGATAAAACTTAATAGAATATGATGTGGACTCTCTTTAGAAGGTGTATGTAAATTATAGACGTGTAGTGATACAAGAAAAAACTGATTACCTGTACCGTAAACACAATATATCTTTATTTAGTTAAAACATTTCAGACTGTTTGGTTAACAGGGACAAATTTAAACTCCAACGTAATAATAGTTTATAAACGCACATTGTTGTTGCTGATTATATGCGGAAATTTTAATATCAAATTTTATTGAAAAATGAAATTTCTTCTCTCTATACTCGTTATCATTGGTAACTTGAATGTGTTGCTTGCAAACAATGATAATTGTAGAGAAAACGATCTGAACGCTATAATGGTACGTCTGCGTCAACTTCGAACAGAATTTAACAACTTGAAAATCCAGCACGATGATCGCATTGATCAGATAAATGCCACTCAAGCAGTTCTCAAGGAAGCGAATGATACTCAAGAAACAGAACTTAAAAAGCTTAGACAAGAATTCCACAATACATCTTCAGAACTTGAAAAGCTTAAACAAGAATTCCACAATACATCTTCAGAACTTGACAAGCTTAGACAAGAATTCTATAATACATCTTCAGAACTTGAAAAGCTTAGACAGGAATTCCACAATACATCTTCAGAACTTGACAAGCTTATACAAGAATTCCACAATACATCTTCAGAACTTGACAAGCTTAGACAAGAATTCCACAATACATCTTCAGAACTTGAAAAGCTTAGACAAGAATTCCACAATACATCTTCAGAACTTGACAAGCTTAGACAAGAATTCTACAATACATCTTCAGAACTTGAAAATCTTAGACAAGAATTCCACAATACATCTTCAGAACTTGAAAAACTTAGACAAAATACATCTTCAGAAATAGCGGAAATTAAAGGTATTATATTAAAATATTTATTCAAAAATGACAGTACTTATTAAGGTGACTCAACTGAGGAATTCTTTGACATGACTTGGTCAGAACATTTTTAAAGATATTTATGCCATTTGATTTAGGTCTATACCAATACTATGTACAAAATTTCAGAACATAAAAAAAGATGTTCGTCATCCTTTTCCATAGTTATCACTTTTATTATCATAAAATGATCCAATGAAATTATGTTTCGTCTGCTGTAAGATTATTTTGCGCAACCTAATGTGCATTTCACTTTGATTTGCAAAAACAGACATTCCATAGATTAAAAAAACACACGAAAATTTCCTTTTACTAATAGACAAAAACATGGCATTTTATGCCCAAGAAACTATTATTTTATGTGACTTTACAGTAACATCAAGACTTACTACAACACTTCCAGTTTAGGAACTTGAAAACATAATTATGTTTTATGTCCTCTGCCAGGTCTGCTTGAAGACAAAAATATTCCCATCATTTGTGGCGCGCATGAACAATAACTATTAATGTGCCAATTATACACATTTCTTTGCAATTCAATTTGAAATCCTCCTCCTCAATCAAATTCTGCTATAGAGTTCTTCAGAGTCAACTTAATGTTTTGAAATCCATTTTGTGTCGCATGTAGCTCAACAAGTATTTGACCTAGGGTCATGAAACTTTACAGGAATGTTGATAAAACTACAGTCTCACTTACATCCCGGCAGAATCCCGGCAGAACCCCGGTAGACGTCCGGGGTGATCCGGGAACGACCGGGCTACGACCGGGAACAACCGGGGTACATCCGTAAATCTGCCGGCAACGTCCTGTATGATCCAGGAACATCCGGCATTCGACCCCAGATGGAATAAAATATTTAATATCACCGGAGGGTCCGGGATGATCCGGGAAGTAAAGCTTTCCTGGCCTCATCCTTAGCTCTGCCGGGAACGACCGGAGTTACACCGGGGAAGCACCGTAGCTCTGCCGGCACAAACCGGGGATGATCCGGGTATGATATAGCCAGTAGAGCTACGGTAGAGCCCTGGTGAATGCCCTGAGAGCCCCGGCAGAGCCCCGGAGGATGCCAGCAGAGCTCCGGAGGATGACGATGGAGCAACGGTTGATCCCGATACAGCCCCGGCAAAGCACGGTTCATTGCGAAAGAATGACGACAATTTGCGATGATTACACTTGTTTGTATTAAAACCCTTCCAATTTCCCTTCTATCTAGTCTTGCATAAGGATTTTCAGAAAATCATCATGAATTACTATTCTTGAACAATAGATATTATACTAAATAAAAGTTATGTATCAATGTAATCATTTTCGCGCGTTTTCAATCCAACGGGGTTCTACCGGGGCTCTTCCTGGATCATCTTGGGCTCTGCCGGGGCTCTGCCTGGATCGAAAGGGGCTCTGCCTGGGTCAACAGGGGCTCTTGCGGTTTGATTATTTTTAGTAACCTAAATAGTGTCTGTTGTTCAAGAAAGATGTTTGCTTCATATAAAACGCATTGTTTTTGCTACAATTTTTATCTCCTGAGCGCAACAGATGCATCTCTTCATATGTATGTGGTGCTTTAATGACAATCGTTTTATTTAGAGAATATCGCATATGTCACCGTAGAATCTATAGGTATAATTAGTTGAAGAGATAACTAAACAATAAATAATGAAACCTAACTTGGCAATAATGAAAATATCACTTTGCAAAATACTGGAAAATGTGATATCAAAATTGGTCCTGAAGAGAAACGGGTGTAATGTGATAAACATCCAATGATTTATGCATAATGTCAATAAACAGTCTTTTAAATAAAGTCTGTTTTATTTTAAGTCTTTATTGCGCTTAGGAAGCTTCTTTTCATATAAAACGCATGGTTTTTGCTACACTACATTTTATCTCCTGAGTGAAACAGATGCATCTCTTTATATAAATGTTGTGCTATAATGATAATCGTTTTGTTTTTAGAGACTAAATTATGGCAAATGACCCTAAAAACTATAAAATAAATAATGAAGCCTAACTTGGCAATAATGACATTATCACTTGGCAAATACTGGAAAAAATGTGAATATCAAAAAAGGTCATGAAGAGTAACAGATGTAATCCGATAAACATCCAATGATTTATGCATTATGTCAATAAACAGTTTTTTAAAATTCTTAATTGCGCTTAGGAATTTAAAGGTTCTGTCGAATTATTTATGTCGAATGTACTACTTTTTGCATACAATTCTTTTTCAGCAAGTTGTACACAAAAAGGTAGCAATCAGAGTACTATGTAAATGATTACTAACATAAGGTAAAACTCGAAGAGTACATTATTACAGAAACATGCAAAATTATTCTTTTTATTTTAAAAAAGTGAATAATACTCTGGTCTCCGTGCTCGAGGTGTTCGAGTGGTTAATTATTTTTTAAACTTCAACATACCTCTGGTATCTCGTGTTCGAGTGGCCAAGGCAGTTGAACCTAACAACCGTGGCTTTGATTCCAGCCAATGACTTTTGAATTTTTCATGATGAAGGTGTCAAGCTAAAACGTCGCTCATTCTACCCATGTCTTCCCTAACCAATCAGAGCTGGAGTGTCGCCATAATACCTTTACATCGTTGGTATGGCGTAAAATTGTAAAAAAGGACCATTTTGCGTCACGAAACCAGTGTCAATTACTTTTGAATTTTGTATTAATGTGTACATTATTCGAATTGTAACAAAAATCAAAACCTATTTCAAATTTGACTATTTTAAAGAAAAAAAATTGGAAAAAATGATTAGAATGGAAATAAAATTGGAATAGAAAAGAGTATGATACAATTAAAGAAAAGGATTTTATGTCCATAGCAACCGATTTGTCACATAGGGTTGGATATATGGGAAATGCCGTACAATGTATTTACTATGTATTCATAACACTACAAAATTTGATTGGCAAAACAATGCTAATGCGTTTGAAATAATGTCAATATGTTGATGGAACGTCACTGTTTTGTGAAACGATCGACATTTAAGGGGATGGTCGAAAGTTTCATAGATTTATTTGAATGATGGTAGCTAAATTAGGAATCAGGCAAATAAAGCTTTCATGTGCTGCTTGGACAGGGCGTCCTTAAAATCACTGTTTCTAAAGACAAAACGGCTACATGCTAGTTCTTAAGAAATGTTTTTTTCTGATTAAAACTACACATACGTCGCCCCGAATCGGGATGACATGGTAGTGCGAGCACAAAGTTTAAGCGTCTGAGAAAGTAACTGCGCTCCGACATTCTTCTTTTTCCCCGTGAATTAAACACATCCGCTTACCCTACGTGACTTTTCTTTCCTTCCAAAACTTAAAAATAGTCAGTCTGGAAACTGTCATGAAGGTCACAGAGTGTACAATAAAGTATCTCTATTGCAAACTCTAACATGTGCTTTAGAAATTGATTAACTGACTGAAACGGTGACGGTTATGGCAGATGGTGAATATCTTGGAGGACATAACGAGTTAAAATGATGAGACATGCTGTATTTTTATAAAAGCAGCAAGTGACATAATGCTCGAAATAGCTCTCCTTAATATAAAATCATTAACAAAATATACCAATCTCTATGAACGCAATGCTAACAATTTAGTTATTATAATTGCTATAATATTTGCAGCTGTATATATGATTTTATTGAAATTATGATAACATAAAAAATCAAACAGTGAGGAATAAAGCATGCCTAAAAATCGTTCAAAACGACAAAATTAAACTTAAAATTAAACGGTACTGAAAAGTTCAAACCACCTTCCACGCCTTCTAGCACCGGTCCAGATGGAGTTTAACAATAAGAGTAAAATATTAAAGAAAAAATTGCAAAAATTTATGCAAGTGCCTTGTTTTTAGGACAAAACTTATATTAAGTTTCTTATCGATTGCATGCACATTAAAACTTTCATTTGTGGGGTTTGTTTCTTAGATCGTTTTCAGATCATAAGTATTAGTCATCGATAGCATTTATTCGTAACAATGTAATATAATTTTATACAAAAGTCAATTTGCTACAATCGCATAACTTACGTAGGTATTTTTTTTTCTCTGCAGGCAAGTCCATATTACCAATTGTTGGATTCAACGCCCGTCTATCTTTTTCTTCATCAACAACAGTAAACGGTGGGGACAAGGTCGTCTTCGATACCGTCATAACAAACCAAGGTGAAGGCTACAACAGTTCTACTGGGATATTTACTGCACCGGAAACTGGACTCTATTTCTTCTCAGCTCAAGTTTGTAATAACATTAGTGGTGTGTATTACGCAATATATCAAGACGGTACACAGTTAACAAGAAATACAACGTATACATCGTATCTTGATTACGGTCGTTTTGGTTGTAGTTCTGTAAGCACTATCGCCATGGTAAACAAAGCGGAACAAGTGTGCGTACAAACTTTATATTCCGCAGAGTTGTATAGAGATCCTTATGGAATGAATGCTTTTTCTGGGTTTCTCTTTAACAAATAACTCCATGTATATATTAGCAAAACTAGATATAATATATACCCAGGAAAGTTCCCATAACAGGATATCAATATCAATTATATGACAAAAACGGCTTCGCTTGCAATTTATCACTTAATAAAAAGATAATTAAAATACTATACAAGTATTGCCTGGAAAAGGCTAATTATTCGTTATATAGTTATATGTATATATTTTAGGGAAGTAGACTTAGTGTGTTTTCTTAGGAAATCCGAGAATCTTAACATATAGGATCTCACACAGAATCTTGTGCCTACAAATCTATAAATAATATAACTAATATACATATAAAATAAAGAAACTTTTCTACTTACACGTCATTTTATATTATGCAGTGAAACATGTGATATTTAAAGATATACTTTGCTCTTATTTTATATTAGAAGATATTGACAATTGCGACACAGTCTCTTTGTAAATAGAATATGTACTTGTTTTGATTTAAAAAAAAAATAGATATGTTATGTTTAAAACTCTGCACACTACATATGGTCTATATATATGAATATATAATAGTGTCATTTTTTATGAAAAGACCTGTAATAGGGAACACAGCTCTCCATCCATAGTTTTTTCTTTCTTTTATTCAAATAAGACACATTTATTTCAAATAAGATATATTAAGTAAGAGTTTCATAGATTTCAATTAATTTCTGTGATTAGAATATTTTACTAAAGGATGAGCATAGTATATCTTTAATAAGTGTTATCAATTTATTGTTTTCATGATATTATATAAACATATTATATGATTGGTAATTTACTAACAATTGTGTGAAGGAATGTTTAATGCTATGTTGTTTATTAAATATTTAAAATTGTAACCTAGAAACCGGTGAACATTTATAACACATTTACTTTACAATACACATGGTTTTGTAAAATACTGGATTTGTTGTTTTTATTTCATTTATTTGCTCGACACTGTGGATATTTGTCGACTTAAACGTTTGGGAAAGATCTTAGTTGACCTCCTTTCATTAGTAGTCAATGACCTAGACATCCAAGGAGAACAACTCACCTTCATGGTAATTTATAGTGAGAAAACTTTCTCTTAAGAACAAATCACATTTCCTACTAGGTTTCTAACCTGCAGAAGTTAGGGCCAAGTGAATGTATCGATCATAACCACTCAGCCAAATGAAATTTACATTTGTTATTGGCATTGAAACTGTAGAAAATAAAAACAAATGTCACTTATGAGGCCGCACATTAAACGAGCAAACCATGCGTAATTAAACTTGACCATAATATTCGGTAAGCATGACAAAATAGTAATTAAAATACATGTATTTAAACAATCAGTCAGCCCTTGGTACACGTCTTTTCAAATTCTATAGGCAACTATTTCTGTGAATAATGTCTACCCATAAAGGAAAGGATGTTACATTTACATTTTACAGAGCGCTTGTAAACATGTTGTGTAGGGGAATTACGTTGTACATTAAGCAAAATTGAAACTTAAGCATTTTACAGGTCTCGCTTTAAATGAGGAAAACGGTGTTGTTTACATGAAGTTGTAATGATATGACATGAATCTCGTATAATTTTTTTATTGTCATTTCAAAATTGTATATAGCAATTTTCTTTGTCGTATCCGACGAAGATTGTATGGCTATACTTTTTGTGTTTTGCATGGATAAAAAAAACAATACAAAAGACGGTCCACATTTTATTTTCTATTATAAATTGTTTAATATTTCAATATATATTTCATTAAATAAAGTATAGAGACTACTCATTCTAGCGCGGAACCCATACACAAAATGTCTTCTTGACAACCTTTTTTTGTTTAAGAGAAATCGCGTGATATCTGATTATTCAAACACACGGTTTCACTTACCATAAAAATGTTGACATTTGCCGAAAACATCGTATAAGATGATTCAAGAATGACGGGGTTTTTACACTCGATACTATCAACAATTATGAAATGCTTTAAAATTAAATGAAATATGGGTCATCTATTGTATTTTTTGCTGCTTTATTGTGTCTTTTTTTTTTCTTGCCGGACGCAAATCATAAAATGTCACGTGAGTTAGTCACCGTGGTTCACGGGTGATTGCTTTAAGATAACGCTAATAGGTTTCGTATGATACTTGTTTACTCCGACACCAAATGGATGAGTTAAACGCCCGCCAGTAAAACAAAAGATATACGTATTATTTGCATGACGTTTTATAATAGATGATAATGTCATACCTATATAATCAAAGAAGGAGAATATCTTATGCAAACTAAATATCATAATCAGATGAAGATAACAAATATATATTAATATTCAATCATTACAACTTAGGAATGAAAGAAAAGAGAAATCAGTTTAAAAAAAAGCTTACTAGTATTTATTAATAAAAAATGTTGGCATGAAAACAGCCATGGCTGGATAAAAGCATTTTAATCATTTAACCCATTGAAATGTATATGTGTTGCGAATAGTTAAATTTACTAAATGTCTTTACTATAACTTTTTTTGCCCCGGCAACGGTTGCAAAAACGTTGTAGCACATGCTTCAACTACACAGGTACATATGTTGAAATCACTTTTCATGTCTGTTTACAAATTGATCAGCTCTGATAACGATCACTGAGAATCATAGACATTTACTTTTCCTGTATTTTTTTCTTTTTCAGCCATGACATGCTAATAGTGTTATCTGAAAATATAAATAAAGGAAGAAAGGAAAAACAAAGAAAAAACACAATAAATTGAATGGGTGGGTTTGTGGTGGGATTTAAGATTTGAAATGTAGTCTACCTCTTCTATGGTGAGCCACGATTGAAAGACCGTTCCCAGAATCTGTTCTGCCTTATATATGATATAACCCAATGTTAGTTGTCATAACTATTTTGAGGCCCTATTGGGGTATTATAATAAAAATGTTAAGTTGTAAGATTTGAATAAAAGATTAAATCCTCTAGCGGATAAATCTAATATTATAATTATACATATAATATTTGTATATACATGTATATAATGTGACGATGGGATACGGAATATTCTTAACAGATGAGGATGGTTTACACATATATTGATAAAATGATGATAAAATATAAAAATCAATATCTATTACATATTACAATGATAAACACATGGTCCAAACCAATAGGGGAAATACGAATGTTCATAACAGATAACAATGATATACACAAAATTCAGACAAATAAGGCAAAATATGCATATTCATAACGGAAGAAAATGGTATAGTATTTCACATAGATCAATTAAAGGTAAAATAAGAGTGTCATAACAGATGAAAATGGTTTACGTATAGTCAATACTGATACGGGGACATACGAAATTCAGTGTTAATAACAAAAGAAAATGGTATACTTACAATCCATACAAATACTTTATTAATGAAATTAATGAACAATAAATGCTTTGTCAAAAACAATTCTTTCACAAGCGTCCTGTGTATTCGTAACATACAAAAATAGTTTAGCTGAAAGTTTTATTTTGTTAGTTTAAAATCCGGGTGAATGGAACAAATAATTAATATTTGCGTTTGATAGGCAATGAATAACCCCAAACTTCGGGAAACATGTTAAAGCTGGAACTGGCCTTCCAGTTATAGATTCAGTTAGTGTCTTCTGTATTAAATAAATTGAATGGTCACGTAGAATATTTCATAGGCAGCGGTTGGATGTATACAAATGATATACAATAAAATGAACTTATTTCTTACTCTTGCAAAATTAACTGGACTAGATTACCTATTTTATATTTAGTATGGAAACAGAAACACATTTAAGGTTTAAAAATTGTATGATGTTTTATAAAACATTAATAGTTCTATGATTCTTTTATGAAAGGGGAAGTAAATCCCAAATGTATACATTAAAAGTTGTTATAACATTACTACCCTTTAGTCTGTGAGTTGGTCTAGGCAAATGTTAGAGAAGTTAGGCGATTTGGTTGAACGTAAGTTAGAATAATATTGTTAATATTAACCGCAATTCCTGTATGTAAAGACAATACCTACCGTCGAACAATATAACGCTGAGATGACTTTTCCATAGTTTAATTGTGTTACTGTTACGCACTGCATATGTTTGCCAAAATTTTGTTTTATAGAACGTACTACATTTGCAAAAAAAAATGTTGCAAAAAGAAGTTCCTGCCCTTTATAATATGATTTAAATATGACTGTAATCTCATTGGTACAAACGGTAGTCAACAGAACTTTTATAAAATTATATTCACTGGGTGCAGTATCAGATTCACTAACTGAACTAGATTTGCCTAGGTTAAATAGATTGAGACTCATATTCAAATTAATGTTTTATTAACAATTATAAGTTATAAATAAGATAATTAGGAAACAGATAATGAAAACCAGGACAATCTCTCACTCTTAATTCAAACTTCAACCATTTTCATGTTTTCATAGAAAACAACGATATAATGGTATATTCCTACGATGAATAAAAGTATATGTATTTGACGTTGTTTTCAGTGCGCGCTTTTGGTATTCTACAGATACACGGTTTTATGCTGAGTCATGTCATAAATATATGTTCATGTTTACCATATCAACAAATATTAAGTGTTTTTATACAATCAACGAACTTGTCTGATCAAAAGCGATCCAGCAAATGTATTCCATCTGCGTGTGTCGACGTAATACACAGAGGTATCTAAACTCTGTACCCACACCCGCTCCGCCTTGTTTACCATGGCGATGGTGCTTACAGAGCTACAACTATAAACCCTGCCATTATCATACTGTGTACTGGTGGTTATGAGTGCCCCTTCATGATATTATTGCGTAATTCACATCCTTGTTTCCTTGATTACAAACATTTGCCGTGAAGAAATAGAGTCCAGTGTGCGATGCAGTGAATATTCCAGTTACACTATCGTAACCTTCGCCTTGGTTTGTTATTACGGTATTATAGACAATGTTGTTCCCTGTGTTCACTGTTTTTGTCGAAGATAAACGAGCGTTGACTCCGACGATAGGCAACAGCGACTTGTC